GAGTCATGTCATGAGATGTTTATGCAACTGGAATGTTTATGTAATAGGTCATGTAATGTAAGTCATGTGAGATGCCATGTGATGTAAGAAACGTAAATGCGATGTTAGCATTGCTTATGTAATGCCATGTTAGATATGTTAAGGGACCTCATGCATATATGTATGTCACGTGCATCGGGATTTTTCCCCTTTATGATACGAAAGAATGAAATACGATATTTATGTTCGCCATGATATCATGCGAGCCCTTTTCTGCTCTGTGGTGTCCGGCTACGTGTAACACGTTGTGCTCGACCAAGTCAGGCCCAGGGGGTATGTTTATGAGCCCGCGTAGTGGGTTCATGTACACGTACATGGGTCATGTGTGAATGAGTACCACACATCCAACCCTACCCGGAATAGAAAAGCGCCCAAGGCTAAGAAAAGTTTATGAAAAGTTAGGTCCCGCTCATATGTTGCATGTGTTTGCATTCCTAACCCCAACAGTGAGGTGACTTACTGAGTATTTCATAAAATACTCAAGCCACGTGCTACCTACATTTTTCAGGTAAAGGCAAGGCGCCAATGTACGGTTGACGGCAGAGCTAAGGCCACCATGGAAGTTGGAGACGGGATATTTTTAGGAGTTTACTTTTATTAGACTGTTTTAAATTATAGCATTGAGTATTGTTTTATTTGGATCTATTTTGAATTCAGTATTGAAGGTTTATTTTTGGAGTTTAGGTTTTGTTTTGGATTCATGAATATTTATGAAAGACTCTGTCAAGGTTATTTATGATGAGCTTCCGCTTAATGAGATAAGTATGCATGGGTGACGTCACCAATTAGGTTAAAGAAAATTAGGGGCGTTACAAGACCAAGCGTAACGTGTTGAAATTGTGGAGAAAAATGTCACTTTCGGACAGGTTGTACAAGACCAAAGAGGAAGCAGAATCACAAATCTAGAGATGATGATGATTCTATAAATTCAGCAGAAGACATTAGGGATGCTCTAATCCTCAGCGTGGACAGTTCGATTAAATCCTGGATTTTGGATTCAGGTGCATCTTTTCATTCGTCTCCAAATAAAGGGTTGTTCCGGAATTTCAAGTCTGGAAATTTCGAGAAGGTGTATCTTGCCGACAATAAAGATTTGGAGATTAAAGGAAAAGGAGATGTCTGTATAAAAACTCCGGCAGGAAATCAGTGGACATTAAAAGTTGTCAGATATATTCCTAGTCTCAAGAAGAATCTGATCTCTATTGGTTAGTTGGACAGCACAAGTTATGCAACAAAGTTAGAGAAGAGTTCGTGGAAGATTATGAAGGGTGCTACGGTGGTAGCACGTGGCTCAAAATCTGGAACCTTATACACCACTGCAGAGTGTATGAACATAGCTGTTGTTGCTGAGAGTGCTTCAAATTCAAGTCTACGGCACAATAGACTTGAACATATGAGCGCGAAAGGAATGAAGAGGCTGGCTGCGAAAGGAGTTTTAGAAGATCTAAAATCTGTTGATGTGGGTCGTCGTGAGAACTACGTTATGAGCAAGCAGAAACGAGTTAGCTTCACAAGGACCGCCAAAGAATTGAAGAAAGTGCGGTTAGAAATGGAACCATATGTGGAGCAAGGTTCGATGAAGCAAGTGGGAGTTGAGCTTGAGTTGCAGGAAAACTCACTTAGTGATGTTGTAGCAGATACTCATGAACCTCCTGAGACTACTGCTGAGGAACCAGATGTGGAGCAAGGTTCCAAGACCACGAAGCAAGTGGGAGTTGAGCTTGAGTTGCAGGGAAACTCACCTAGTGATGTTGTAGCAGATACTCAAGAAACTCCTGAGACTACTGCTGAGGAACCAGATGTGGAGCAAGGTTCCAAGACAACAAAGCAAGTGGGAGTTGAGGTTGAGTTGCGGAGAAAATCACCAAGTGATCTTGTAGCAGATACTCAACAAACTTCTGAGGTTGTTGTGGAGGAATCAGCAGTGGAGCAAGTGACACCTGAACTGGTGTTGAGAAGATCATCCTGTGCTATCATAGTATCAGATATGTATGTACCTTCATTACACTATCTGTTGCTGATGAAAGGGAACCAGAGCCCTTTGATGAGGCCCTACAGTTGGAGAATACAACCAAGTAGGAGCAAGCCATGGATGATGAGACGTCTAGGCTTCAAAAATGCGTTGTACTGAGGCTGAGTACGTGGCAATAGTTGAAGCTGGAAAGAAGACGATATGTATGACTGACTATCTGGAAGAATGGGCAAGAAGCAGCACGAAGATATTCTTTACAGAAATAGTCAGAGTTTCATACAGTTGGCGAAGGAACCCGGTCTATCATTTAAAGAGAAAACACAGAAGACGATACCATTTCACTTGCAGGTTAGTGAAAGATGGTGATGTGTTTGGAGAAGATAGAGGGTGCAAAGAATCCAGCAAACATGTCAACAAAATTTGTTGTTGTTAGAATATTGAGGTTGTGCAAAGCCTCAATTGATATGGTGCCATGAAGACTCATGGTCGTTTGAGAATGAAATTCTTGGTTGACTAGATCAGTCTGGGAGAATTGTTAGGTTATGGAGCCTGCTTATTTATAGCTTGGTCAACGATTATATCCGGTAAAGCTATATTTGGTAAAGCTATATTGGGGAAAGCTATATATAGTAAATAGCTATATATATAGTAGATGGTTAAATCTGGTAAAGCTATATATAGTAAACCGAACTATATATATATCCCGTCCGGTAGAGCTTTGAAAATGTACTTTCTATTCTCTGTAATTCTCTCTTAGTGTATATACGTGAAGTCATCAATAAAAAAAAAAAAAAAATCCTTTTAGCCAGAGTTCTCCTTGCACTTTTCTCTATCCTGGTCTTTGTGTTCATCTAGATCGAGCGTGTGCGTTGTTGTGCGATCCTAACACTTCCTAGGTACAAAATGTTCATGACTCAAACTACATCACTTTGGAACTGAGAAGCCTTGGATGTAGGTATTCAGATTGCATCACTTGGAACGTAAGAAACCTTGGGTGAAGGTTTCAAACTACGTTTCTTGGAACATATGAAGTCTTGGGCATGGGTATCCAGACTATACCACTTGAAACGTATGAAGGCTTGGTCATAGGTTTTTTAGACTGCGTCACTTGAGACGTAAGAAGCCTTGGATGCAGGTTTTAGACTATACCGCTTGGAAACATAAGAAGTCCTGAATGTAGGTTTCAAACTGTATCGTAGGGAAGGTATGAAGCCCTAGATACAAGTTCAGACTATGTCACTTAGAATGCATGAAACCTTGGATGTAGGTTAAGATTGTGTCACTTGGAACGTATGAAACCTTGGACACAAGTTATCAGGTTCATGAGTTGTCCTGTAAATCCTAGGAGTAGTATCTTAGGGAACAAAACGAGAACAAAATAAGAACCAAGAATAAGATTAAAGACAAAGACAAGAACTAATAACAAAAAAAAAAAAAAGAACCAAGGAAATTAATCAAGTTCCAAGTTCTCTAAACTAAGTACCTAAAACCTCAGAACTAAGACCGTTAGGCAAGAACCAAGATTAGAACTTCAGAACTCAAAATTAAAGTCTTTTGGCATGATCATGGCAAGAACTCAGAACTCAAGAACAAAACCTAATGGTCTAAGTTCTCAAGTCAAGAATAAGAACAAGACAAGATCAAGTGTGGAACCCTAGCATACCTTTGTTGGGATTTATGCCCTAAAGCCTCCTAATTGTTTCTTTATTTTTTTAATAACAATTTTATTTTTTATTTACAATTTAATATTATCTATTATATGAAAAATCTAAAGTTATTGATGTAATCTTGAACAATATGCGGTTGACATACAATATGATCATGTCAAGCAATAACCTAAAGGGTTTATAGTATTTGGATAAAGTTGGGTATCGTATCTTAGTAACACTATTGATACAACCCACTTTATAATTGTTACAAATGAATTGATCAAAATCATTCATGTGGAGACATGTGAGTGAGGGTATCCTATACAATGAGTTTGTATAAGACCGGACCACGAAATATTTAATCTTTCTTTGTAAATTCGTTAATTGAGAAGATTAATAATTCACATGATGATCATATGCCACTCGATCTTAATCTTGCGTAGGTTATGAACTCCTACCTGTGAGCTTGTTCTTTGGTTTGCATGGATGAGAATGATTTTTGTAACCGATTCAACATGTCTACCATTTTGGGGACTTGACCAAATAGAGAGCTCGGAACATAATATGACCCGATGAAATTCACTCCTTTCTATATAAGGAAAGTAGATGAGTTATTCTCTTAAGTGCTGATTTTGAGACTTAACAATGGTGCCCCACCCTCTCATTGGCACGAGAATTAGTGGTACTTAAAACGAAAGATGTAATTACAAGGGTAACATAGATTTTTGACTCGACCGTAATTACGAAAGCTCGTGAAGGATCGACTTGCTTGTAATAATTATATCAATGAACTCAACTTATCTTAAAGTGCTAATTTATATTCTCTTATTTCAATAACACTTTGGCACTCCATCTAGGGTGGTTCTAATTTTTCAAATTTTTTTAAAAATTTATTTTAAAGGTGTATATAGATGGCACGGGAGAGGTACACATATGTAACTACATAATCGTCCTACCCAATTTGGTCTCCTATGCAATCGCAACACGCTATCTTGGGGCTTTTCTATGCAATCCTCGTACACGACATGGTTCCAACTTCGACGAACTAATGAGCTTGTAAGATCAATGATAAAAGAATACCTGCAAACTACTTCCAAACGTGGTTTTCCTTCCTAATGAAATTCACTTAAAACTAGGTTATATTAAAAGGACACTAAAAGTTGAATGTTTTTTTTTTTAACTTCTCTTTCGTTTTGGATAAATCAGCAAACCTCCAAGATATAATGCCTAAGTAAAAAAAAGTTCGAGGTTAAAATCCTAAAAAAATTACCAAAAGAAAGAAAAAAAAAAGAGGTAAATTTAGTAGGACGGCGCAGGAATACGCTGGAATAACGAAGGTTGGAAGGACGCAAATAAATTGAGGAATTTAGGTCAAGTGTTGGTTTTCTCTTACTCACGTTGGCCACTCTTCTATTGCGGCTAGGGTTCTTCTTTTTTCTCCATTTAACTTTTTGTTTTTCTACAACATCCCTGTTCTTTCTTTTATTATATTCATGGAGCTCTTGTTAAGATAGGTTTCCTGGTCGCCTTTCTCGGAGTGGAATTTCCTGTTTTTTGAGGTCTTTTTTGGGGTATTTGGTTTCGAGATTAGTTTGGAAATGGCGACCGTTAATCCTTTTGATTTGTTGGGGGATGATGACGCCGAGGACCCCTCGCAGCTAATTGCGGCTAAGCAGGTGGCGGCAGTAACGGCACCGCCGCCCAAGAAAGGCTCTGCTCAGACCAAACCGGTGGTTTCGCCGTCTCAGCAAAATAAGCCTGCTAGTCTTCCTTCCAAGCCTCTACCACCTTCTCAGGCTGGTAATATTCTTCGTTTCTAAATCTCTGGTTTCATTTGAATATTGATCCTTTCATTTCTCGCTATTGGTTGTTTGAATTTACATTTCTCAGATATAGTTTATTGTTTCTCTTCTAGCTGTTTGAATTTTTTCTCTAAAACTAAGCAAGAGTGATGGGTGGTAGCTGTTTTTAATTCCGTGGAAGTATTGAATTTCCTTTTTCTGCAAACAAAACCTTATGTTTTCTTACTATGATGGTTTTTTGTTTGTGATGATTTTTAATTATTTGAATTTATCGGTAAAACCTTAACTTTACACCTTGCTGAACTTGGTGACTGTTTATTGATTTGGACTCTTTTGCGGGAACTTGGTAGTCTGCAATCAATTTTTCGTTCTTATTTTTGTCTTGCTTTTCTTATAATTTTGTCGTCCTGTTAGATTATAGTTTACCAACCTACTGTTTCTCTAACCATTGGATTCTTATGAGTTTCCATTGGTTGAATTACCCATTGGGAGATTGAGATGGTCTTTTTCTTGCTTTGAGTAGTAAGAGAAGCAAGGAATGAAGGCAGTCGTGGAGGCCGTGGCAGTGGACGAGGTGGAGGACGAGGATATGGGCGAGGCCGTGAGGGTGGGGGCTTCAATCGTGACTTTGCCAATAGTGAGAACACTAGTGCACCTGAGGATGGAGAGGCTGGAAAGACAACTGAAAGGCGTGGATATGGTGGGCCTCGTGGTCGTGGTGGCCGTCGTGGTGGTTTCAATAATGGAGAGGCTGGTGATGGGGAACGCCCTCGTAGAGTATTTGAACGCCACAGTGGAACTGGCCGTGGGTTAGTCTGTTTTTTAAAACCTCATTTTATTCACTCCTTCTGTATAATTTACACTGTTTTGATGCTTTTTTCCTGATTTTTATTCCTAGAAATGAAAACAAACGTGAAGGGGCTGGTCGTGGAAATTGGGGAAGACCAGCTGACGAATTTGCTGAGTAAGTACACGTATATACCCTCCATCAGCGTGGATGTTTTTTTCTGTTAGAAGGCCTCAACCATATAAAGTGAGTTTGGCCAGCCTCATTTTTCTTTAAAGTGGGGGCGGGGTTATATTTTTATGCTTGTGTCATTATCTCTCTATGCTAATAAGGTTATTTTTCTCTCCTTGACAATTAGTTGTACCTTAAAAGTTCTGTTTTATATCTAGGGTAGCAGAGGAAGCTGTTAATGAACCTGAAAAGAATGTGGGTGATGAGAAGCCCGTTCAAGAGGAAGATACATCAGGTGTCAACTCGGAGAACCCTGCTAAAGAACCAGAGGAAACAGAACCAGAAGACAAGGTTAGCTTTACTATACTTACATTTTTGCTTGCATTTCAAATTGAATAGCTTTACTATACTCTTAATATCATAAATCTGATTCATCTAACAGTTGTAAATTTGATTGCATGTTAGCATGGTGAGCTTTGATTATGAACTCCGTTCTACTGTTTTGCTTTATTTTTAATCTAGTTTACTCTTTTGTTCTGATGCAGGAAATGACTCTGGAGGAATATGAAAAGTTGCTTGAGGATAAAAGGAAGGCCCTCATGGCTCTAAAAACTGAGGAGAGGAAGGTGGATCCCAAAGAATTTGCATCCATGCAACAACTTTCAAGCAAGAAGGAGAACAACGACATCTTTATTAAATTGGTACGCACTTAATCCTCTTTTGGAGTTGATTATCGATGGGATCTGATGACACTTGGCTTCTTGGTACATCAAATGAGAATTTAACCATTTCATGTTCTTCTGTTACTCCACCTAGCAGGGATCTGAGAAGGATAAGCGAAAAGAAATTGCAGATAAGGAGGAGAGAACTAAGAAGGTATTATTGCCTCTTCTTATAAACGATTTCTGCCCATTAAATTGTTTACTCAGGTTTGATGTCTAGAAAAATTCTAAAAGTCTTAGGGCAGCCTCCAGCCATTGTCTTTGTGAGGCTGAGTGAGGCTGAGTGTATGTCTAAGCCTTATTTTAAACTTAAAAATCATATAATAACATAACAATATATTGTAAAGAAAAAAAGAAAAATTTCAATTGTCTTTCAATATGCATAAGTTTTCATGAGTTAATCACCTCAAAATGGAGAAACAAAATTGGACCAAAATCTTGCCTTGCCCTCAGAAGATGGAAAAACAATGCAACTCAAGACCCTACGAGCCTTCTTCCAAATTGTTTTGAGGAGTTAAAAGAGCCCAAACAGAAGATGGAAAAACAATGAGAGGAAAATGACAATAGTAAATGAGGTAAGGAAAAGAAAATCAAGAAATAGAGAAAGAACTGACCTTTTAGCTTTCCCTCATCTGTTACCACCCCAAACACTTTTTCCTTCCACAAATGACGGACAAAATTATGGCCGTCTGTTTTTAGGCATAAAGTAGTAGGTTTTTTACATAAAATTTTCTGTAAAGTCAATTATTCAGTGAGTTATATGCCTCATTTAACCGACCTTTTAACTTAAGTTTAACCACACAACTTGCTTTCCTCAAGGCTTATGTTTTGAAAACATAGATGTCCTGCGAGGACATAGGATGCCTTTTATTGGGTCTATTTGGAACCTTCATCAAGAAATTTAATTGATTCTAGAATTTAAAATATGAAAATATGAAAATATGAAAATAGACCTTGTAGAAGGTTAAATTACTAAATTTTCTTTTGTTTTCTTGTTTTTTAGTCTTTGAGTATTAATGAGTTTTTGAGGCCTGCGGAAGGAGAGCGACACTACACCCCAGGTGGCCGGGGAAGGGGTCGTGGTCGTGGTTCAAGGGGAGGATACGGTGGCAGCTCGATAAGCAATGTTGCAGCCCCATCCATTGAGGACCCTGGGCAGTTCCCGACCTTAGGTGCAAAGTGAATTTCTCTATAAATTTTCCCTCGAAAAACTGTGTGTTTTTTTAATCTGGGGCAGGAAATTGACTAGAATAACAGTCGTGTCTCCAGTATCAAAATGATTTTCATGTTTTTCTTCTGGTTTAGGTGTAAATTGTGAAAGTCTTGTATTTGTCCTGGTCTATTTTCCGTTGTGTGTTCTCAACTGTTGTTTCAGACTGTTTGACAGATGAAACTATATATTTATGAGTTCCTTCGTCCCCCACAGAGTATTGTTTACTTCCCAAATGGGGCATGTTGTTGTTGATTTGTTGCCATTCATGGAATTTTTCTGTTGTGATACAGATAGTGAGAGAATATGAGCTAGTTTGTTCTTTTTTGAGTTGGATCTGAAATAGTGGATTGATTTAGTCTCATATTTGTGCGATGGAGGGATGAAAAGCAGTGGGGAATTTAGAATGAGGAATCAACTCTGAGCGAGTTGGGCACTGTGGCAACAATGTGAGCTTGAGATAAAATAAACGGGCGACTGGGAAAGAAAGGTAGAAGGGAAGATAGAAGAACCGAAGGTAGAAAGGGAAGATAGAAGAACCGAAGGTAGAAAGGGAGGAGAGGGAGAGGTTTCTTTATTTCGGATGTCACATCAGTTTAAAAGGCATGACCCTCACACATCCTTAGCTAATAATAATTCACGTGTTATAAACATAATCTAGAGAAGCATAGTATCTAAATAACATGCTTATAATCTACTCCTAATCCATATAAACTATTTGTTAATCATGCTTTAACTTCAATAAAACTATTAGCATACTCACACCACTTGCTCCAAACAATTATTTACTTTGTATTGCTTAAAACCACTCTTAATTTGGTCCTTTTTTAGAATATTTATACTCTCGGCTACCTCTTAATGGATAAAATTTAGTTCCAAAATAATTTATGCCAAATAGGATTGAACGGTTCTACCGTTTTTTCTTATAAGAATTGAAGACCTTTCTAGTGTGTTTTTATCCATAACCTTGATTCCATATACATTTCTCCTAACAATTTAAGGGTCGTACTTATAAGTGTTAAAGCATTTTGTGAACTTGTATTTAAAAGAATGGTGTTTTGGTTACTTTCTCAAGTCATGTATAGACTCCGAACTTCATTTGGTCTCAAATCTTTCTATATTGTGATAACTTTACTTGAAATTTTAAATGTATCATTACCTACTTTAGAATATGTAGATGGAGGAATGTACTCTACCATATTGTTTGTCATTGTAAGAACTTTGTATCGATGCAACGTATAACCTGTAGTATAAGTGTAAGTGCACTATCTCTCATCGAAATGTTGTGATATTGTGGCTGTGTGACATGGTCGAGCTTGTTTTCATTAGTTGTCTTGTTGTGGTATTATTTCTATTTTTTTTTTAAAGTGATGGTCCTTCCCAAATTCAGTCAAGACGAAACCACCAAAACCATATATTTTCTTGTTCTATTGGCTTGGTTTTCTACGTGTTATTATTACTCTTTTAAACTTTCATCTTCCAATCCTTGCTTACTAAATTTATTATTCCTTAGTTTTTTTTTTTTTAAACTTTTCTTCATGTTGTCCAATTCTTATTGTTCTACTAGTTTGTCTTCATGTCATAGGTGACAGGCTTCACATCATATGTGATGGTTTGACTTTTATAGCGTGAGCAATTTCTTGAAGAATGGGATCGGTGGGGCTAAGTTTTGGTGTAACATAGAAATGGTGTCATAACTTTTGTCTTAAATTTATTTAATTTTACTTTGGTTAATTGACTTTTAGTTTGGATGGAGATATCTAGTGATTTATACGTTTTTGGCTTGCCTACCGAATATTGACAATGCTTATGGTTTACAAGAATATTTCCCTATTTCCCTACGGCTTAGCTTTTTCTTTCTTTAATGATTGCTTATCATATTGCTGAATATAACAACAAAAGACAACAAAAAAATTATAAACCGAGAAGAAATGCAATATAAAGTTAAAGATTGTTGGTTATGTATAGGAAGTGAAAGGTGATAACAGACCTGCAATACAAAGTCATCGTATACAAATAATGGAGAATTCAACTTTTTTATTCTATGAAATTACTTAATACTCATTAAAATGTAAATAGATCACAAAGTTTTAATGGTAAATAAAAATGATGGGATATGATATTTAAATAATAAAATGATCATAAAATTACTATATTATAACATTAAAAAAAAAATACTATAATAAGTTATTAAATATATTATAGTTTTAATAAAACGCTATAAAATGTTTTTATAGCAACGTATATAAGCTATAGTTTTATATTCTATTATACTTAAAAAAAGCGATAAAAAGGAGTTCATATTTTTAATAATGTGAGTTGTCACGACGTATGGAAAAAACTATAAAAAGCCTACGATAGTGTTTTTCGTATGCTATTGTATCAATTATTTCTTGCAGTCGGCCTATAGTTACAAAGTTTCATAGCTTCATGTATTGGATATTTTGGATATCGGAGACCTTATTCATACGAATCTATTTTTCATTTTTATTTTAAATGTTACAATTTTCAGTAATTAAGACTAATTTATAAATCAGTAAAAATAAAATAATTTAAATATTTGCCCAAAAAAGTAAAAATCAAATAAAATAAAATAATAATATTATGATATTCCGCACGAGTGATCTAAGGAAACGAAGAAGGCAAAGTAAATTATACGTTTAAGATTTGGTTGTCCATTCCTTGCACGTACACACACTACCGTATGTCACTAACCCATTGCGTCTAGGGTTTTCTCCTGCTTTCTACCGCGTTACGATTTCTTTTCCTTTTTCCTTTCTCTCTTTTTACAGATCCCCTTCGTCTCTCGTTCAGAGATTCATGGAGTTCTTGTTAAGCTAGGATTTCGTGGTCGCCTTTCGCGGAGTGCAATTCCCTTTCAGCTTTTCCGGTATTGGTTTCAACATAGTTCCGAAATGGCGACCACGAATCCATTTGATTTGTTGGGAGATGACGACGCCGAAGACCCATCGCAGCTAATTGCGGCCAAGCACGCGGCGGTGGTGCTGTCTAGGAAAGGTTCTGATCATCCACAGGGCAAACAGGCGGCTGCGGCAGCTAAACAGAACAAACCTGCTAATCTTCCTTCCAAGCCTCTTCCACCTGCTCAGGCTGGTCAGTTTCTTTGTTTTTTCATTGAAAGTTTTGGATTGTGGAAATGTCGGGTTGATTTTGATGATTGATCGTTTTTTTTTTCCCTTTACTGTCTTTGTTCATTGGTTTTGCATTTCCTGATGTTGGTTTGTCCGCTTGTTTGCATGGTTACGTTATTTGCGCCTATGGAAGAGTGCGAAGTCTCTCCTCATGATGCTTTTTTTTTTTTTTTTCTTTCAATATATATATATATATGTTCACGTAGGGGTCATTTCAAATCAGCCAAAATGTCATAAGGTATGATTGCTTTTATCTCTGATACGGTGGTAGAATGTAATAGCCGGCTAGGATGTAGAACGGGAGGAAAGAACAAGGATAAAGGATGTACAAGAGAAATCTCCATACATGTCTACTTGTGAGCGCTAGTTAGAAGCTCCCCTAATGGCACCAGACAATACTCCCTATTCCTGCGTCATTCCAGGCTAGAACAGTGCAAGGTCGGCCCCCCACTAGGCACTATCAAAGCTCCCTTATTAGTACTCTTTAGTGTGTCACGGGCCGTGACATTGCAATTTTACATGCTAATTAGACCCTCACTAGTCGAGGTGAGTTCATAGTTAGGGGTTTCCCTAACCGTCAGGTAAAACATAGGCTAAGGCTCACTAACAGGTCATACATATCATCTTCTAGGGCACATAACATTTAGTTATTGCCGTTAACCGTATGACCATGTTAATGTCTTGCTGACGTTCTCTACTGTTGTCATGTTCACGTCGTTAGGAACAAGGAAGTTGACTCAGCTCTCAACCAACCAGATAGACCTATGAGGACAACTCTAAGTCTCACAATTTACATCAATGATGAAGCTTTTATCTCTATAAATTTTAAGGCTTCAGATAGGTTCAAAGGACTGAACAGATTCTTCCAGGAAGTATTCAATTGGTATAATTTTTTGGTTCTTTTTTATGAGATCCAATTGATATAATGTACGCACAAGTTGGATTTCAATATATTATGGTTGGTTGATTTGTGCTCTTTTGCATTATTTTCTTAATGAAATGTTGTTTTCAATATTTACATTGAAGAGGAACTTATGCGATTAGATTTCTTTTGTCATGAAAATTTCATTGTTTTCTCAAGAAATCATGTTTTGGAGAGCCAAATTGTAGGAAAGGCGTGATGAAGTTAACTGTATGAAGGAAATATTTGCATATACATCCAGATCATGGACTGTTGTACAGATCTGCTTGGCCTCATTATTGCATTCGTGAATTTTCCTGTTTCTTAATATAGAACATGAAAGTCTGCAATCAATTTTTTATTCTTATCTCAAGCATAGGCTTGCCTTTTTCATCCTGTCCATATTACAATATAATTTATTAATGGTCCATTCATTAACCTATTGGGGTCTTATGAGTGCCCCACCCAATTGGTATGAATTATCCATTGGGTAACTGAAAGAATGTTTTCATACTTTTGAGTAGTAAGGGAAGCAAAGAATGAAGGTGGTCGTGGAGGTCGTGGTAGTGGGCGTGGTGGAGGCGGATATGGATATGGGCGAGGCCGTGGCAGCGGTGGCTTCAATCGTGAATTTCCCTATAATGATTACTCATTTAGTAGTAATCCTGAAGATGGAGAGACTGGAAGGACAACAGAAAAGCGTGGTGGATATGGTGGACCTCGTGGTCGTGGTGGCCGTCGTGGTGGTTTTAATAATGGAGAGGCTTCTGATGGTGAACGTTTTCGTGGTGCATTTGAACGCCAAAGTGAAACTGGTTATGGGTGAGTGTTCTTTTTTTAAAACATCAGTTGTATTCATCTGTATCTTCGTCTCTGTTTTGATATTTTCAGCCTGTTTTTTAACTTAGAAATGACTTCAAGCGTGAAGGATCTGGGCGTGGGAACTGGGGAAGGCCAACTGACGAATTTTCTGAGTAAGTACGTCTACATTTTTGGAAGTTTCTGTATGTTCCTTCTTGTTTCCTATAAACTGAGAGGCGGATGTTGCTGGAAGTTTTTATACATGTGCAAACTCTTGTATGCTGAGAGGCTAGTTTATTTTGCATACAGGGGTGCAGAGGAAGTTAACGAAACTCAAAAGAAGGTAGGTGATGAGAAGCCTGTTCATGAGGACGATGAGAGCTCTGCTAAACAATTGGAGGAAAAAGAACCAGAAGACAAGGTTTGTGTCTTCAGGTTTTTTGGTAGTCTTCTTTCAAACTTGCAGCCTACCATTTCACTTGTCATTGGTTTTTCTTGTGGATTGAATATAAATTTGTACTTTGCTTGCTTACCAAACCAATGAATGCCATTTAGAATCCAAGTTGTAAATTTGATTACGAATAGGCTTCGTGGGCTTTGATTATGAACATCACCGTGATTTTGATTCTACCTTTTACTCTTTTCTTTTATCCTGATGCAGGAAATGACTCTGGAGGAGTATGAAAAGTTGAAGGAGGAGAAAAGGAAGGCCCTTCTGGCACTAAAAACTGAGGAGAGGAAGGTAGATCCTAAAGAATTTGCATCTATGCAACAACTTTCAAGCAAAAAGGACAACCAGGACGTCTTTATTAAATTGGTACACTTACTTTAATCTTCCTTTGGAGTTAAAATTATTTATTGCTCTGATGACCCTTGGCTCCTTGGTATATCGGATATTGACTTAGACTTGGCCATTTGATCTTTTCATTTGTTCCACCTGTAGGGATCTGATAAGGATAAGCGTAAAGAAATTGCAGATAAGGAGGAGAGAACTAAGAAGGTATTTCCTCTTGTATATTACATGATTTCTTGCCCATTACATTGTTTTCTCAAGTTTAGTTTTGTTTTCAACTGGTGAAAAATGTTCTATTGTGATGCTTCTTAGTTGAATTAAGCAATCCAAATGTATTTTAGTTGGTTTAATTTACTCGTATTACTTTTGCGGATTCACTCTCCTATTTGGAACAAAGCTTAAAAAAGAGGGAGTTTGGGGCTTCGGTTCAACATTTAACTTGGGTTTATTTGGTTGTGATGGGGAAAACTGGGTGTTGGGGGTTTCAATAATGATATTTAAGAAGAACAACTTAGCTAAGAAATTGGTTCATTTATAAAAGTTTTACTCAACTTGGTTCTAAATAAAATAATATGTCCATGATCGTAACTTGAATTATGTGTTGCAGACTTAATAATAGAGTAATGTTTTCCATATCATAGAAGGAACAGACCTTGTGACGTTATAAAAGTCTGATCTTTCTGTTGCTTTGTTTTGTTTTTTGTAGTCCTTGAGTATTAACGAGTTCTTGAAGCCTGCTGAAGGAGAGAGACACTACATGCCAGGCGGTCGGGGTAGGGGCCGGGGCCGGGGCCGGGGCTCAAGGGGAGGTTATGTTGGCAGCTCGATGAACAGCTCAATGAGCAGCAATGTTGCAGCAGCTCCCTCGATCGAGGATCCAGGTCAGTTCCCAACCTTAGGTGCGAAATGAAATTCTGAATAAATTGGACTCGAAACTGTGTTATATGGTTTTGGGCGTTCTCTCTTTGATGTGGGGTTCCTTCCCTGTGTTACAAAGAGTTCAACTAAGTTTTATTTGTTTAGATGTAAATTGTGAAAGCCGTGTATTTTTCCTTATCATTTTCCATCCTGTGTGCTTTTCAACAGTTGTTTCGGATTTGCCATATCCAACTATTTATTTCATTTTACCTTATACCATATTCTTATTCTCTGTTCCCAAAATGGGTTTTGTTTGGCCTGAATGAAGTAAATTAAATTATCTATTTAATTATTTCCATGCCCAATGAACAAATTAAACTTTGTTTATTTGAACAACAAAACAATTAAATGAATCTAAAAAAACTACTTCTTGACACAATTAAATACTAAATAAAAGAGTTAGTATGAAAACCGCCCCTCTGATGACAGTTGCAACGTTAAGAGGACCACGACAATAGAATGAGAACAAAGTCAAAAGATGACGTAGAAAGGTGGAAGTGGTGGAAATGAATAGAGCAGTCATAAACAAAATATATATATATAGAAGTCAAAAGATAATTGAAGTCAAAAGATAAAATCAATTATAGAGTATCCACGTACCATAAAATTAATTATACAATTTAGGCTTTAATACCAAATTGATAAAATAATCTTAATGTCTAGCTCAATGATCCAAGTTTTTATTGTTGAAGCAAGAAACAAATTGGGATCGATCTGAAAATCAAATATCTAGAATTTTAAAATATCTAGAATTTTAAATTGTCAATGATTACCCTCAAAGTTTCAAGAGTGAAAGTCTCAACTCAAATTCATTTACCCAACAATTTCTTTTTTATATACTAATTTATTGGTTATAGGTATTTATAGTCTCTCCACACAAAAAAAAAAACTCCAACTCTTCAAATGTCCATTAAAAGAACTTAGTGGCCATGATTGGTAAGTTACTCCCCGCTTTCAAATGTCCACTAAAAAATAAGTTGACAAGTAACTTACCGCTCCTTTACCCACTACAAAAAAATTATGGAATCAAAATAATAAATAAAGTCTTCAAAGAAATTATCAATCAAGTGTTATTTATTAGCAACCCTAATCCACTCCAACGGGGTAAATATTCATTTTTGAAACTCCAAATGGTTTTTCTTTACTTGAATCAACTTGTAACGCATGAAATGAAAGTTGAGTCAATTCTATCCATTCTTGTAGGTGAATAATGAATACATGTAGAATCTTCTTAGTCTTTGACTGCGTAAGAGGTAAAGTTGAAACATTTGGAACACTATGATCCTTATGGTCTTCAAGGAAAACCGCTGCCATACTCTTTTTAAACTCAATCCTTTCCATGACTTAGAATCAAACCGATATAGATACTGAAATTTCAAAGAGTACACACAACTCTCTTAATCAATAGATTTACCATTTGATTACGGTAATACAATATAATTCTCTCTTTTAAGAATAAAAGGAAGAACTTTGAGTGAGTAACATTTGAGGATGCTAAAGGAAAAGAGTGGCAAAAATCATGGCCAATTTTGAGATTTTTTTTAAAAAATTTAAAATAATAATAATATAATAATAATGACACGAATGAGCCACGTTTATAAATTTGAATTTGTTTCCTCATTTTTTAAACAACAATAATAGTAATAGTGACCAATCCTCATAAACTTAAATTTCTTTCTTAATCAAAATGTCCTAAGTTTAAATTTATTTATTTATTTTAGATTTTCAAATATAATATTACATATCATTGTTTTATTTTTAAAACAACTAAAAAAGCCAAACTCCACGTGTCATAGTTTGATTCATCATAATAACAACTAAACAATCACATGGTTGGTAGGTATTTTCTATTTCATTTTGTTTTGGTTAACTTCCTCGTTTTATTTATAATTTGAGGAATTCAAAAGACATACTATTTCACTTTCAAATAAGGACCAAGAAGCCAACAAAAAAAGAAAAGAAAAGAAAAAAAATCCTTAAATTTTTTGTTTAGAAATTAAAAAAATACTATAAAACTTTAAACTTAGAATTAACACCCTTTAGCATTATAACAACATATAGATGAAAAGGGTCCATGGGCACGCCATAAATCATCTCCAAACTCTTTAATATTACTTTTAAAAGTTTACTAATATTTTTTTTATTTTTTTTATTTTAAAGTTTAAATGAGTTTTTGATATTTTAAAGAAATATAAAGATATTATTTTTGAAGTTTTTAAATTTGTTTTTAGCGTAGTAATAAAACTAAAGGAATAATATTAAAAAAAAAAAAAAAAAAAAAAAAAAAAAAAAAAAAAAAAAAAAA